TCAGAAAATTTTCTGAAGAAGGGTCTAGGCCCGAAACGTCAGCCTTCCTGCTCCTCTGATGCTGCTTGGCCTGCTGTGTTCATCCAGCTCTACACCTTGTTATCTCAGATTGTCCAGCATCTGCAGTTCCTACTATCTCTGAAACAAGAAGTTTCTGTTGTAGGTCGAATTGGATGCCCAGATTTTGAAGTGTCCAGTTCAACCTGAGACAATGGTCAGGGAGGAGGGATGGAATCAATGGGCAATTGGGTTTATTAAGGAACATAAACACAAGCAAACAAAAAACTGAAGAAACTCAGGAGATCTGGCAGTATCTGTGGAGAGAAAGCAATTATCATTTTGAGTCTAGTGACCTTCTTGAGAATAGATGGCAGCTAGGAAAAGGTGGTACATACGCTGACCACAAGAGGTGCGGCAGGGGAAGGAGTAAGCAGATAGGTGGAGATACAGCCTGGGCAGGAAACAAAGGGATGAATGATAGTAAGCCAAGGAGAAATTAAAGCTGATAATGGGGACCGTACATAGGGTGAAAATGGGTTGACTGTTCTGAAATCCATCCTTTATCTGCCTGTCTTTCTCTCTGGACTGCATTACCACATCAGCGTATAAACAAATTTTCCCAGCTACTATCAGCTCCGAAGGAGGATCACTTGACCTAAAACATTAAATTTACTTTTCTGCACAGATGCTGCTGAGTTTCTCCAGCAATTTCTGTTTTGATTCAGGGATCTTCAGCAGTTCTTTGTTTTATTTTAGTGATAAACACAGCTGATGTGACATTCAGATGTGTGTATTTTTGCATGTGTGTGGGGTGTGGGGAAAAGTGACATTTTATAGTTTGGATTATAGAAATTTGAATGAATAATGTGATGTTCCCTTTATGGGGTGGCACGATGGCTCAGTGGTTAGCATTGCTGCCTCATAGTACCAGGTACTTGGGTTCAATTCCAGGCTTGGGTGACTGTGCGGAATTTGCACATGTCTGCATGGGTTGCCTCTGGGTGCTGCGGTTTCCTCCCATAGTCCAAAGGTGTGCAGGTTAGATCGATTGGCCATGTTAAAAATTGGCCCATAGTGTGCAGGTTAGCCATGGTGAATGCAGGGATACTGGTGTTGCATCTTTTACGCATCTGCCACATTCCCCACCGACCCACCCCGTACCATCCTCTGTAACTGTAAAAGATGCAACACCTGCCCACACAGCATCTCCCTCACCTCCATTCAATATGCTAAACAGCCCTTCCCAGTGAGACAGAGCTTCACCTGCATCTCCTCCAACCTAGTCTACTGCAGCCAGTGCTCCTAATGTGTTCTTCTCTATGTTGGTGAGACCGAATGTAGACTAAAGTGACCTGAGAAATGAGACAGTGTGTGACTATGATCTATTAATTTGGAACAGGCACAGTGTGTGAACCTCCTGGCCACCCATTTCAACTCCGCACCCCACTCCCTCTTCGATATGTCTGTCCTCAGCCTCCTCCAGTGTCGCAGTGACTCAATGTAAATTTGAAGAACAACATCTTATCTTCTGCCGGGGCACTCTACAGCCAAGAAGACTCAACATTGAGTTCTCCAATTTCAAATAACCTTCCTACCCAAACCCTGCTTCCCCTTCCAGCCCCACCTCCTCCCTTCCATTCCACCTTCTAACCCTCCCTTCCGGCCACCAACTGAATTCATTCCTCCCATCGACCAACCAGGTCGCACCTACCATCAGTGTCCACCTATCGCCACCATTCTGCCTCGGCCCCTCTCCCCCTCTTATTTCCTGCAGCTCCCTTGACACCCATATCCAGTCCTGAAGAAGAGTAATACTGACAACGTTGACTGTTCCTTTCCTCTAGATGCTGCCTAGCCTGTGTGCTTCCAGCATCCTGTTTGTCTAGATCAGATCTAAGCTCTGTAGTTATGCAACGTCCAGTCGTGAATGCTGTTGGACAGTTAAACAAATAATTGGAGGAGGTGGCTCCACATATAACGCCATCCTCAATGGTGGAAGAGACCAACGCATCAGTGCAAAATATAAGGTTGAAGCAGTTGCAGCAATCTTCAGCCAGAAGTGCCGATTAGATGATCGATATTATCCTCTTGCAGTGGTCCACTGTACTACAGATGCTAGTCTTCAGCCAATTCGATTCGCTCCATGTGATATCCAAAAACGGTTAGAGACACTGGATACTGCAAAGGCTATGGGTCCCGATAACACGTCGGCAACAGTACCGAAGACTTCTGCTTCCCTAGCCAAACTGTTCCAGTACAGTTACAAAACTGGCATCTAACCGACAATGTAGAAAATTGCCCAGGTATATTATGTACACAAAAAGAAGGACAAATCCAATCCACCCAATTACTACTCCAACAGTCTACTCTCAATCTTCAGTAAAGTGATGAAAAGTGTCATCAACAGTGTTATTAAGCAGCTCCTGCTCAACAATAACCTGCTCAGTGACGTCCAGTTTGGGTTCTGCAAGAGCCACTCAGCTCCATTCTTCACTACAGCCTTGGTTCAAACATGAACAAACATGAACTGAATTCAAGAGGCGAGTGAGTGTGACAGTCCTTGACATCAAGGCCACATTTGAACGAGTGTGGCATCAAGGAGCCCGAGCAAAACTGGAATCAATGGTTATCAGGGGGAAAACCCTCCGGTGGTTAGAGTCATACCTGACACATTGGAAGATGGTTGTGGTTCTTGGAGGTCAGTCATCTCAGCTCCAGGCCATTCCTTCATGACAGTGTACTACGCCCAATCATCGTTGGCTGCCTCATCGATGACCTTCCTTCCATCATAAGGTCAGAAGTGGGAATGTTTCCCAATGATTGCACAATTTTCAATTCCATATGCAACTATTCTAATACTGAAGTAGTCCATGTTCAAAACCAACAAGAACTGGACAATAAAAACCAAAAGAACTGTGGATGCTGTAAATCAGGAACAAAAACAAAGTTGCTGGAAAAGCTCAGCAGGTCTGGCAGCATCTGTGCAGGAGAAAACAGAGTTAACGTTTCGGGTCCGGGTGACCCTTCCTCAGAACCTGCTGAGCTTTTCCAGCAACTTTGGTT